ACATGCTGGTGCAGAGATAAGCTGTAAGATTCAGAAGGAAGAAGAGAGAAAAGATCAGTTTGGGCCAACGCAGCCAGGGAGAGAGTGTGTTGGGGAGATGATGGTGAAGAAGAGTGTGTAGATAAAACACAGCAGAAAGGTACATGCATTTGGGAGAGGGGTCCTGCAATTTGTTCTCAACTACCAGGCTACATAAGTGCATTACACACAGTAGGCATTCAACAAAAGTTCACTGAATTAAAAAAAGTTATTTGTTAAACTGGATCCAAACCATCTCCTCTAAAATGCTTCTTCAAAAATATTTTTCTATTAGAATGCTGAAGAGAAAACAAATATGAATCTGAAAGAGAAAAAAGGTCTGTTGTTCACTCCATTCTCATTCAAAGAAAGGCCTCAAAATGAATTCAAATATATTAATAAGAAATCCGTGAGGACAGCTGCCAACATTCATACATTCAGCCTGCTTTTACATAGCTACTGCTTATTCAGGATTTACACAGGCTTGCCAATGATAGCTGTCGACTGAAAATAAATATTTGATTTTGTTGTCTCACCCTACCATATTTATTAAACAAGTGCTTTTATATAACTATCCTAGAGATTGAAGATACCTAAATCTCCACAAGGTATATATATTTCTGACAAACTCAGGTTGTTAACAGTATGGGGGCAGGGGAAGGGGGCTGGTACCAGGTCTTGTTTTCTTTCTTTCCTTTTTAAAAAAACTTTACATACACCTGCTCAAAATATCTAGATTTGGTGGCCAATTATAGAACACTTTTCACAGCAAACTTAGTGAAATAATGTCATTTTTAGCCTCACGGCTATGGCTTCAAATGACTAGACATGCAATTCTGAACTTGATTTATGGACAATGGAGCCCATTTCTCCTCTGGCCCCAGGCCTGAATGCTGGGATGGCAGAAACCCATACTGGAAAAATTTAGTTTTCCAGGTCGATGAGGGTGATTAATGGAGAGGTTCTTTTCAAATCCGGCTCTCAAGAGTAAGCTGCTGTGCTCCCTGAACCAGAAAATGGGATACCGGGGCTGATTACTCCTAGCACCAAATGATTACTGACACAGGTTTGAATGTCACCATTGTAACAGGTAAAGCAAAACAACACAAATAAACAGAGTTAATGAAAAGAAAATAAAAATGCTATATATTGACGGTAGAAAGCTAGTTTGTCTAACCCAGGCCACTAATTCATGGAAAAATCCATTGAGAGCAATTTAAGTAAAAGGAAAATCAAGTGGGTTTAAAAAACTTTTGGTCTAGTGAGAAATAAGTCAGTATTTTGCTCATTCATTTTGAAAAATAAGAACAGAGAGCAAAACGATCTACTGAAAAAAAATTAGTAAATTCAATACATGATAAAATTACAGTAAATACATAAATTTAAGTTACTAGATTATATCTTAAAAGCTATTTAAAAATGCTTCTTGATTTTACATTATGGCCATTTTGTGTGTGTGTGTGTGTGTGTGAAAATGGGCAGTGGAAGGTGAAGCCAACATGAATGAAAAAGACAGATGCAGTCTACACACTACCCAAAGGAGAAGGACTCAGATGTAGTGAGGCTGATCAAGTTACGAGAAGAAACACAGAGATGAAGACACACTGAGGAGAGACAGACAGACAGACAGAGCAAGGGAGACATGTACATACAGGAAAAGGCAGTGGAGAGAGGAGAGGGGAAGCTAGAAAGACAAACATTTCCATTGGTTTAGCAAATATTTATTGAGGCAGAAACAGATCCAGAGAGATGGGGGAGGCAAATGGGAAACTCCACAGACCTCTGATCTTAGCCCAGTAAACTCTGACTGCAATTGTACAAAATTGTTTGGGGGGCCTGTAAGTGTAAAAGCACTGTGCTAGACACTAAAGGAAGTAAAAGGACATATAAAATAGACACAGCTACCCTCTAAGAACTTATTTAAAGGCTGTATTGGGCCTAAGAGAGAACATTATTTAAAATGATGAAACTGCTGGGAACTTAAAACAGACCTTTCTGCAGTGCAGTGGTAAGTGGGATTTCTGCTTTGGATTTTCATTTTAGATTATAAAGGCTTTACAGAGGTATGCAGAAATGGAGAACTTTCCTTTTTTTACCTTCAGAAGTCTGAAGCATAAATAACAACCAGGAGGGGAAATCGCTTTGGTATGCAAAGGTGCTTGGCAGCCTAATCTTTGTTCTTAGAGAAATCAGTCTTGCTTTATTACCTGGTATCTGGGAAATACGTGAAACCATCTGTTACTTTTTTTTGTTAAATTCAATGCTATTTTTGGATCAGTTGGGTCTTAGTGGGAATGAACAATCAAAACAAAATTACAACCCCCCCAAAACAACTCTCAAAAAACCCCACTTTATTAATAAATAAATAGCTCCCATTGAAACCTACAACTAGAGAAGTGTTGTCCGTTAGAAACACACTGCGAGTCATATTTTAAAAATAGGCACAATACGAAAAAAAGCTTAAAAGGTGAAATTAATTTTAATAATGTTTGATTTAACACAATGTATTTAAAATAACATATCAACATGTAACCAAAATAAAATTTATTGATGAAATATTTTGCATCCTTTTTTCATACTAACTTTGAAATCAGGTGCATGTTTTAAACATATATATATCTCAATTTGAACTAGCCACATTTCAATGGCTCAAAAGCCACATACTGGATACCGTGTTGGATAGCAAAGTTCTAGGATACTGCTTCTCCGTGGCTTGTGTATCCCTTCCTATTGTTAGGGCCACCATAGATCCAGTAAAATTAAAATAAAATCTAAAAAGCAACTTCTGCTTTCCAAGTTTCCTTAAAACATAATACTGTGGGTTTTTTTATTTTATTTTGTTATCATTAATCTACAATTACATGAAGAACATTATGTTTACTAGGGTCCCCCCTTCACCAAGTCCCCCCCACAAACCCCATCCGTCACTGTCCATCAGGGTAGTAAGATGTTGTAGAATCACTACTTGTCTTCTCTGTGTTGCACAGCCCTCCCCATGCGCCCCCTCCCACATTATACATGCTAATCAATACTGTGTTTTTTTAACCTGCTTTCTGGCTTTAAAAAAGTGAGTTGAGGTTTATATACAGATTTGAGGAGGTAAAGCTTTCTTATGTAAGTAAAACAAGCAGTCCACCAGAAGTTATGAAGGAAAACTTGGGGTGGGAAATAGTGGCTACAGAAGCCAGGCTGAACTGAGCAGGCTTGTCTCAATGTTTTCCTTGCAGCCAAAGTAGCCCTCTCTCAGGCATTTATCACTGCAGAATGTAAGTTTTTGGGGGGACGCCACTATGGTTACCCACCTCTGATTTTCTAGCACTTAACAAAATGCCTGACTTACAGTTGGTGCTCTATAAAAGTGTGAGGAACAAATAAATTAATCCAAATAAATAGTTTCTCCTTTACACTAGACCCATTTCAAGTGCTCCATAGCAACACATGCTAGTGGCTACCCTATAGGACAGCACAGATATAGAACATCTCCATCATCACAGAAAGTGCTCCGTCATCACAGACAGCACTGTTCTAGAACAATGGTCCGAAACTGTCTGACTGGTGAGGTGACTGGGGGACCCTACAGACCACAAAATTCTTTTTTCTTTTATGAGCAAGTGATACCAAAAACCAGTGATATCAAATGACAAGAAGCAAAAGCACAAATAGGTGTGCATTTTACCCTTCTGCAAAGTTCAAATGCAGCACCATATGGTTTCCACTGGAAGAAGAAACTTGGCCAAATATTTTTCCCCTAATTTCTGCCTCCCTTTCAAGGACTTCTCTCCTTGATTCCCAGCAGACACAATCCCAACAAGGGCCCCTCTTATTTTCTGAGAAAAGTTGGCAATTTCAAAAGAAACTTTAGTACCAAAGCTAGGGGAAGAATGAAATAAAACATGAAAGTCATGAAAGCTAGTCAAGCATATATATAATACATAATTTTCTGAACCTCAGAATCCCAGGAAAAGCAGTGAGGTGCTTGAAGAAATCCTACATTCTCTCATCTGAAAGTAGAAGCTGTTAACTGAGGGGCTAGCACAATTTTGTAGGTACATGAGCTGTATCCCTTCCTTCCCAGTCACTTGTGTCAGCCAGGAGGCCTCTGGGGTGCCATCTTGGATCCTGGCATATAGTAGTTAGTGCATCCAAATCTCTTGTCTCATTCCCCATTTAAGGATGTCCCTTAAGCACACTTTGTTTTTCCCTACACAAAATGTTTCCTTGTTTCAAATGCTGTTGCCTACTCAGGCCATCCTACTTAGTTTCACACTGGAGGCCTAAGAAACATGCCTAATTACAGCTGACTTGTAGAACTGGTGGTTCCCAACTTTACCTCCAGTGAATGAGCTTGCTCTGTGGTTCCCATGCCTAGCTGATGATCAGGATTTCTAAAGTTCAGATTCTTGGGCCCCACTCCAGACTTCTGAATCCAATCTCTGGCAGTCAGGCCTGGGAATCTTTATTCTTAACAGGTATACAAACTGAAAATAATGCATTCCATCTCATTTAGGGGTTACTGATCTGTTTCCTCCTTACTTGGACAGTCAAGTCTGTGTACCTCTGAATCATTCAGTAAGGACTTTCCCTCCTTTCACTCTGTCACTTTACAGGGTGACAATGAAACAGGATCTTAAGCATAACATTCATACAGATATTAGGGGACAGAAATAAAGGGGGTTTGCATACAAGGTTTCTATGAACCTACTGTGCTTTTAAGGAAATCAGTGTATCTTTTAACTATATGGGGATCAAAACATCCCTAAACAATGTACTATTAGCCTAACAATTGTGAAGATTCCAGCAGGATGTCTTCATAGGATAACTAACAGTCAGTCTGCCAGCCAGAAAGGCCAATTTTGAGAATACAAAACATGAATATAATCCAGGAAATAAGAAGCATAATTTACCAGAAATCAAAGCTGTTATTGAATTTTAATGTGTGTCTCTGGTGGTCCTCTTTGATATCTCAAATAACAATTACTTACCCTTGACCTATTTTTTCAAATCTTGTGTATTTTTTCTTTGGGTCACCAACACTCACAATGCTTCCTGAATAGGGGGGAGGTGGGAAAAGGAAGAGAGAGAGATAGAGAGAGAGAGATTTAAGTTGATTGATTGATTCCCCTTTATTTAATACTAAAAATTAAGATGCCAGAGTCCACAAGAAATAAAACATTAAAGCAATATTCCCATGTGGTCTCTATGATTTTTATGGATAATGGTACATTTTATTCAAGTAACAAATAGTAATACATTAATAAAATTAACAGTAATAACCCATGCTGCTTATATTCAAAATTAATGATGTTTAGAGAACAAAAAGGACTAGACACAATGCAACATTTACAAAAAGCTCCCATAAAAGACTACTGTAGATCAGAAGATAAAAACATATAAGAATTTGTGCACACTAATAAAATCACTAGCTTCTCTGAACTGGAGTGAAACTGAGCAGTATACTACATTCCCCTCTGCTGGACAAATATCTATTGAGCAATTACTATGCACCCAGTACTGTGCTAAGGGCAATGGGGGATAGAGATGGGTCTAATAAAGAACAAAGTTTAATCATAAAATAATGAGACTCATGCTTTTTAAAAATATACATCCCTGAACCTAAGGCTTTACAGCACTCCAAACATTTCTTAAGAGCTTTACTGAGATACAATTTCCACACCGTAAAGTTTACCCATTTAAAGTGTACAGTTTAAGTGGCTTTCAGTAAATTATTTTAGAGTTGTGCAAATCTACTAAATTTCACTGTGATCTAATTTTAGAACATTTTCATCATCCCCAAAAGAAACCTTGAACCTGTTAGCAGCCACTCTTCATCCCCACCTTGGCTTCCCAAGCAATTCCTAGACAATCACTAATCTATTTTCTGTTTTTTACAGATTGGTCTAAACATTGTGGAGTCAATTTGTTTAGTCAGACAAGAAAATCATTAATTTATCATGTTTGGCCCTGGAAAAAAAATACTGATTTTGTAATTTCAAAATATCAAATCCACTATTAGAGGGTCAATATTTGCCACCACTCAGAATGTAACTAAAGGAAGTGATGCTGACTCTTCAATGCAGTGCTCAAGTAGGTGCAGAAAAGTGCCTGGCCACAGCAGCATCATGGGAATAAGAGATCAGCTTCTCAAATGCACTACTTTGAAGGGAATCATTTATTTGGATGCCTCCGGCCTTCCTTTCTTTAAGGAAGCAAACATATTAGTGTCATTACTTTTGAGTTGTATCTTACCAACAGAGACCTTGCTCCAAAGAAGTGTAGTGACAGTAAGATTTAAACACACAAGCAAATTAAGGGAAGGTCTATAGATTCTATCTCCTAACTGTCACTCTTGTTCATTCCCTCCTCTTCATGCCCATGGCCACTGCCATTGCTCAGGCCCTCAACATCTCTTGTCTAAAAAAAGTGTGCCACTTGTTACTTACCTCTAAACTCAACCTTCTCTAACTCCACTTCCACAGTGCCTTTGGAATAGCGAAACCATGTTAATTCATAAACCGAGATTGTTCTGGGTAAGCTGAGATATACAGTTGCTCTACTTCAGAGTGCTCTCACTCCATTATTTCTAATTCCTCAAAAATTTCTCCTCACTACAGGATCAAGTTCAGATTTCTTAGTCTGGCATAGAAGGCCCTTTACTATCCAGTACCATCCAGCCACCTAACCAGTCTAATCTCATCTTATTCTTCTCTCCACCCCTCCTACTTGACATCCTAGTAATGCTATCATTATCCAAGGCTTCTGGTCTTTGCAGATGCTCCCTCTTTTCCCTTTCCTATGTAACCCATGAATTCCTATTTATTATGTAAATGTAATTCCAAGTCATCCTCCTTTGTGAATTCTTCTCTAATCCTTCTAATGAGACTCACATGCTTCTTCTTGAGGGCAAGAACCTTATCTTTTCATCCCTTGTAATGTCAGTGCATAGATAGGGGCAGCCACTGAATAAGTATTTGTTGATTAAATAAATGTGAACAAGAAAATATGTACTCCAGTGCTAACCTGAGCACTCCAGACAACACCTAGTGTTAATTCAGACCCACCATAGATAGTACACCTTGAAAAACAATGATAAATGATCCACTATGGGCTGTTCATCAGGTTGTTAGGTTTTTGTTGTTGTCATTGTTTGTTTGTTATAATAGAAGTCCATGTTTCAGATAGGTTATATAAGACTAGCACAATATGGGAGTTGTTATAATTCTTTTTATCTTGTATTTTCAATTTCAGTAGATGGTGTTGGATTCCACCTCCTCAGTAGTCCAAGTCAGAAATCTTGGACTCATCTTTGATTCATCCCTTACCATCACTCCCCACATGCAGTTGTGCAGTGAGTCCTGGGCCTGTTTACCTCCTGCATACCTTTGGAATCTGCCCCTTCCTCATTACTATGTTCTAGCTAGGCCCTCATCATTTTTAGTTTGGGCTGTGCCAACAGCCTCTTAATTGAACTCCCAACTTCCAGCCTCTGCCCCCTCCAGTCCGGGCTCTGCACCTCTGTCAGGATACTGTAGTGCAGACCTGATCATGTGACTCCCTGGTTCATGACTCTTTGATGCTTCCCAACAGCTACCTTTTGGAGGGTAAAGCTCAAACTCCTTGGCATGGAATGCAAGGTTCTTCAAAGCTGGCTCCTGCTTCACTCTCTATTTTACTGTTTCCACTTCCTCCCTAGAACCTTATGCTTTGACTATAACAGACTAACTGTAGCTTGTGATCAGCTCCTGCTTAACAGTTTAGCTTCCTCTCTTAAAGCTCTAGTCCCACCACCCACCACCAATTCTACATTCAAGTGACAGTGAATAAGTTAGTGTTCCCAGGCAAACCTTCTTGCAACAGCTACTCTTTGCCTGGAATGTTCTTTTTAAGTCTATTTCCTGGCAAGTTCCTATTCAGGGTTCAGCAACTCAGCTTTGATGTGCCTCTTCTAGGAAAACTTCTTGATTTTTCTGAATAAAGTTAATAATTCCCCTTCTCTATTACTACTGAACTTTCTTGTCTCTCTCTCTTTCTCTCTTGTTTTTTCTCTTGCTTGGTACTCAATACATCACATATGTACATCTATGTATTTGTCATCCCCTTAGAGACTGTGTCTTACGGACAGGAGCCATGTCTTAGTTACCTCTGTATCCTCAGTGCCTCCTCACATGACGCTGTGTGCAGAATATATTGGCTACCCAATACACGGCTGTTGAATTAAACTGAGATGAAACTAGGCATTTCCATATTTTAAGAAAGGGACTTGGAGAATGTATTTTGCTTGAGTTTTATCCATAGAATGTCACCAACTTAACAATTTCTGAGTTGTTATTTCATTTTTCAAATTGTCTCAGATTTTCTACATCACTGAGAACCATCCTTATTCAAGTCAGCTATTAATGGGTAAGGGACTGGACTTTGTTTTTTGTTTAATGAAATGACGATTTTAAAGTGACTTGAAACCATAGTTTTATTAAGCAGTTCATAGTCTTTTAACAATGTTATACTACTAAGTTGCTGAGCAAACTCGTTTCCATAGAATGAACAAAAGCAAACAAGCTTCAGCCCAAGCCATTTTCTGAATAATGACCAATTGGCAGCATTCGGTTAATGAGGTTTTATGGTAGTAAATTATTCAGCCTTTATTTCCATGGTATGCAGGGTAAAAAACAAAACAAAACAAAACTGGAAATCAATCCTTTCATGAGGATTACCGAAAGACAACCATTTTGCTGAAATCCTGCTCCTGAATTTCACTGCTATTCAAATAAAATGGCGTCCCCACACCCATTACCCTTCACAGGAGTGTGCTGCCATCTACTGATGTTAAGCAAGTACACAGAGGTGCTCACAATTCCAAATCATAAAACAAGCTTTTAAACTACCCTCTTTCATCGGAGCCATTATCATTTGCTTTGATAAATTTTACTGAAGAATGTGACAAACATCGGGAACTTAAAATCAAAAGGAAAAAAAATGATAAGCAAAACCAGAATTTTTTCTGACCTGAGCACTTTCGTAAATAGGAAATAAACTATTCATTTTAAAGTACAAGGATTTAAGAAATCATTAAATACCAGGATTTGAAAATAGAGTTCAGGATGGGATTTCCATGACAGAAAAGTTCCTTAGTGTATTCTTCTCCATAGTAAATGAAGTTGAATTCCAACCATTAAAATATGGTGCCTTTAAAATGAAGGTTTGGATTCCTGAGAAAAAGCAAAATAATTCTCCAAATTAACATCACTTCTCTTTGAGGGGGCAATGGGAGAAAGAGTTTTGAATGGGGACTGCTGGGTGTAGGGAGAGACCAGAGAAGAAAGTGAGTGTGGGGCTTGAGGTGGGAGGCTGAAGAGAAATTGACTGCATTGCACAATTTTGTTGACAGTCAGTGCCTTCTGAAAAATTTTCACTGAAATGTAGGGGGTTTCTTTTGTTTCCAAGAGATTCAGACAAACCACAATGAACAAGGCAGACCCAGGCTATCTGTCTGTGTAAAACTGAAAGAAGATCCGTTCATTTCAGCTATTGAATATCTCATGGTCTGGCCCCGACAGTCAGTATTGGCGTCAAAGAGGAAGAGCCTGGCAGGTTTGTGTTCTAGGGTGCCCATCTCACAGTAATCGGCTCTCTGAGACTGAAGGTGAGGCCACTCCCACCCATTGCCCATGCTTATGATGGGGTCCACTGTGGTATGGACTGTAGGCTGTTCCTTTACTTCCCTGTCTCCCTTCCCCCTCTCCTTTGCCTTTCCGCATAGGCTTTCTACTCCTTCCCCAAGCTCCAATGGGGGCCTTAATTCCCACATACTCGATGACTTCTGTAGAGGGACTATATATGTGTAGTGATTCCTGCTTTCACTCGTTCTTTCCCATGAAGAAACCCCATGCCCCAACTTCTTGTGTTGAAAAATATGTTCACTCTCATTTTGTAAAAAGAACATAATAATTTTATACTACTATTTATTGTGCTAGTTGTCTTATGTATGTTACCTCATTTAGTCCTCACAAAATCCCTCTTATATAGGTACTATTATGATCTCCATTGTTTCAGAGGAAGAAACTGAAATTCAGAGGAGTTGAGTGACTTGCCTAAGGACACAGAGCTAGTCTGGGTCTATGACTCAGACTCAGTTATGATTCACTTCAAAGCCTGCCCCATTGTACTATCTTATTAAAATTTTATACTCCTGTAATAAAACAGTACCATTTTCTGAGCATCTACTGTGTACCAGGTACTGTTGCTGAGGTTTTCACATGCATTATTCTCACTTAATTACCACAATGCTCTGAGGCTGTTAGTGTTATTATCCCCATCTTTTTAAATGAGGAAAAAGGGGTCCAGAAAAGTTAAATAATTTGCCTGAAGTGACAGAGCTGGTAGCAATGGCCTTATGATTTGAATCTGAGCCTTTCCAACTCTACTACTTGTCCTCTTAGCCATAGGTTAAACTATGTAAAATCCATACTACAGAGTCCTAAACTGTATTCAGGATTCTTATCCCCATTTGGCAGATAAGAAACAGAGGCTGAGAGGGGTTAAATAACTTTTCTAAGCTTACAGTGAGTCAGTGGCAGAGAGAGGGCATTGGGAGGGTGATGGTGGAGTAGAGAGAGGGAAGACCAACCTTGTGGACTTTGCAGTATAGCTTAGCCTAGATTTGCTTTGTGAGAAGCACTCCCCCACTTCTCCATACGTTCTCCCTGCCAAGGTCTGTAAGCACAAGGTAGGTTGGCAGTTGTAGGTGGCCTACTGGCTAGAGGGGAAGTGATTCTAGGCTCAAGCATTATCCAGTAGAGAAAACACCTAATTCTTGATTAAAATGTAATCAATGGTAGTTTTTTCCTCTTCACCATGTTACTCAGGGCAGCACAGAGTAAACAACAAATTATAAAGACCACAGCTCTAGAACCATTACACTTTGCAAGCAAAATAACATTTTGGCCCAAGAATAGAATGCTTGTTTCTCAGTCAGTGAATATAAGAAAGCTGTAAATGCATTTTCATTCTAAGAAATCTATTTGAATTTGAATGAGATATACGAAATAACAGTTGTTTTTACTAAAGTGAGGCTGTTAGAGTTTTTAAGTCTAAGGTACTCTCATAGGTCACGTCTACATGTACAAAATAGAGGAAAAAGATTCAGGCAATTATCTGAATAACTGAACTGAAATATCCAGGCAATTCCTTCATTTTTTCCTTCCCTTTTACACGTGTAGACAGTTGGGGTACACAGAAGCAAAGTGGGTAATGGAGAGAGTGTAAGCTTCAAAGACAAACAGAATTGAGTTCAAACTCTGGCTCCACCACTCACTTGTCTGGTGACCTGGCCACTTTAGCTTTTTGAGGCTTATTTCCACTGATTTGTAAAATGAGGATATTAAAATCAACCACAAGGGATTATTGTGAAAATTAAACCTGATGATGTATGTAAAAAAATGGCCATCACAGCAAGTGCTCAGTAAATGGGAATTATAACTGTTGTTATTACAGTAAAGTTGGTATTAGCACCAGAAGCACACTTAATCATATATAGTAAAGTCAGTTGGCCACAGGCCAGCACTTGCAGTTCGGAATGCTCACTGACAGCTGTAACCTGAACCTTTGCCTTTCTAAATACCTCTAGCTCAGAATGTCTCAACCTCAGCACTGTTGACATTTGGGGCTGAATAATTCTTTATTGCAGTAGGGAAAGGATGGATTTGCCATTACTACTGCAGAGTGCTTAAAAGTATCCCTAGCTTCTGTCCACTATATGTCAGGGGGACTCATGGTGTTGTGACAATACAAATGTTTCCGGACATTGCCACATGTCCCCTGGAGGGCAAAATGACCCTCTGACCACCTCTGTAGAGTCTTTCTGTGGCCTATAGCCTTAAATGCTCTCTTCTTTTCCTGAGGTCTTTTAGATGGGAATTTGCATGAAACAAGAGGGCCTCCTGTCCTCCAATTGTATCACACTATGATACCTTCTCTTCTAAATAAAATTGTAAGTTTCCTGATGGCAGGACATTGTCTTTCTGTGGTTTCCTCCAAAGATTCTCGCTTAAGACAGACAAGTGGGAACTTGGTAAAGGTGCATTTTTTTGCTCATTTTTTTCATCCATTCACTCAAAAAGCATTTGTAAAGGGCCATATCAGGTACTTTACTAGGAGCTGGGCATACAGGAGAAGAAAACACAGTCCCTGCCCTTGAGAAGCCCACCATCTAAAGGAGGGAAACAGATTAGTAAGGTGTGATGTTTGCTGCCATGAAGGCAGTAAAGAAGAGGGGCTCTTAACTCACTGGAAGAGGCAAAGAAGGGTTTCCTGGGGAGGCCATTTTTGAGCTGAATTTTGAAGGATGAGTAGGAGCTAGTCACACTGGGGCATGAATTGTGGTAACTAGCCAGTTGTTAGATGCTTTTGTAGTATGAGTTTAAAGAATATGCTTCATGGATCTTTGCCTCTTTTCAGCAGAGAATGCATTTTTCTTCAATCTCCTTGACCCTTAACTGGAAGAGGAGTGTTTTTTTAGGCTAGTGTATATGCACAAGCACATGCACACTAATGACTGGGGGGAAGGAGGCTGCTAGCATTTGCTGGTCCTGCCCCCCTCTCCACATAGAAATACTCCTATAATAATAGGGAAGAGGTTATATTATTGTGATTATCATATTATTTGCACAGTTAAGACTGTATTAATTTGATCGATTGTGTTGCGCTTTGAGGTTGACCTATCTATCATGATTGATCAGTTGGGAGCTCTTGGGGCATGATCGTAAGATATGTTGCCGGACTGTTTTATTCCCTTTGGGAATGTAATCTTCAATTAAACTCACTACTTAATTCATCTGTCATGTTGTCATCTTAATTGCTTTTTTTCAAGTGAAAATATTTTTGGTCAAATTGGGAGTGTGAAGGAGGAAGTGATCTAGAATGCACAGCAAGTCCTGAACTTTCTACCTCGTGACTTCAGAAAAGTGCAGGAAGTTCACATAAGCAGGTTCAAACTTCTCAAGGATCAATTACCATTCCAAATGTTTATGAGAAACCACCCCATGAGAAAGGAAGGATGGCACAAAACTCACTTAGCTTCTCCAGGATCTCCTCATCTGTCATCTTGGATTTTTTCCTTTGCCGATCTGTGTTTCTGTACAAAGTACTGGAATTGGCGTTCTCAGCAGAAGGTGGTGTGACCTCTTTATTTGGTGCTGGTGGTGAAGCAATGGATTCAACCACTGAACGAGTGTAGATCTTAAAGATAAGGAAAAAAGCTCTACAATTAAAACAGCAGGTCAAAGAAAGAGTAGGAAGTCAAAACACTGGCATATCAATGTGATTTTTTTTAAGACAAATTTAAATTTTTTAAGCAGTTTCAGGTTCACGGCAAAATTGAGGTGAAGGTTCAGAGTTTTTCCAAATATTCCCTGCCCCTACACATGCCTAGCTCCCCATTATCAACATCCCCCTTCAGAGTGGTACATTTGTTATAATTGATGAAGTTACACGGACACATCAGCTACCCAAGTCCATGGCTTACATAAAGTTCATCTTAGTGTTTGATGAATACTCCCTGTTATGTGTTTGTTCAAATGTATAATGACATATACTCATCATTATAGTAGTATAGTTTTTTCACTAGCCTAAAAATCCTCTGTTCTTCGCCTATTCACCTCTCCTCCCACCCTGCCCCCAAACCCTCAATGAGTTTTTGAAAACAAGGGATTTCTATTTAAAAAGAACTTTGAGTTGCTTCAAGTATGCTGCCTTGAAAGCTCTCAGGAGCTAGTCTTTTGAGGTTACCATATATGATATGTTAATCCTACCCTTTGTGCCCCCGCTCATGCAGTTCTTCATACCTCATTCACATGGATTTCCTTCTCTAACTTAACTTATGCAGCAGTTTTATAACTTAGCACTTATTTGTATATTGCTTGGTACTATTCTCTAACTGCCACGTGCTAATCTTGTATCCCCAAACCACAACTTCAACCAAGGCCCTATCTCACATTCTAGTTTCAGGAACTTAGTAGATGCTCAATAGGTACTAACTGATTAGCTTGATTTTGACTCTATGATTATTCCAGAAGATATCTTTTGAATCATTGGGAAATAGTCACTTGGGACTTACTGATTTTGTATGCTCTGGTCTGGGCGCAATAACTGGTGGGGGCTCATTGTCATCTTCTTCTTCTTCCTCTTCTTCATCTTCTTCCTCAGACACAGGAGGAGCCAGAGGAGGCTCCGATGCCGTTTTCGTACTCTTGCGACAAAAACAAAAGTTTAAAGACCAGATATTAACTCCTCATTGTTTTTCTTTAGGAATGAGACAAGGGAAATGAAATATTTAAGCATATAAAGGGAAGAGGGAACTGCATCTCTTACGAATGAGGAGCGCTATCTATGATTTGGTGACCAGGACCCACCCACATTCAGAGATAAAGTCAGGTCATGGCTTAAACATCGTGACATTTAAAAAATCTTTTTACTTTCCACTGAGCTCAGAAACAGTGAACTATTCACTTAATATTTTGAAGTTCAATGTTTGAAACATCAATGAATATATTTTAAAAATCAAATTAATTGCTATTAAAGCCTTGAATTTGTACTGGGCAGATTGTCAATTTAGTGATTGACAGTTTGTCAACCAGAAACGGCATGCCTAAAGATCACAGCATGCATATGGATGTGGTATTACTATAGCTCTGCAAATACTCAGTAAGTACAAGCAAGACCATAAATGTTTCTTCCCTGTTTAGCTTCCTGGAAAGAAGCACTTAGAAAGTAACAGATGTGAAGATCTAAGGAATATCCATCTACATAAATAATTATTCAATCTTAACCAACAGGTAAATGGTGATTTGCAATGTTAAAAACTGTAATAACACCACCAGCAAAAATAACAACCACTAGAAGACCTAGAGTCGGTTCTTGAACATTCATGCTAATGCAGGGGTAACATAGTTCTAAAGCTGGATTTTGAAAGAACTATGGCTGGGGTTTTCAAAGTGTGGTCCCCAGATCAGCATCATCAACATCATAAAGGAACTTGTTAGAAATGCAAATTCTCAGGCTCCATCTCAACCTCTGAGTCAGAACTCTGGGAGTAGGACTTAGCAATGTGTTTTAACAAACCTTTCAGGTGATCTTAATGAGTGCTCAAGTTTAAAAACCATTCAACTATGATATAGGTCTAAGCTGTCCAATATGGCAGCCACTAGTCACACATGGCTATTGAACACTTATTATGTGGGTAGTTTGAATTAAGGTGGGTTATAAGCATAAAGTATGCAACAAATACTGAATATGTAATATGAAAAAAATTGTAAAATTATTTCCTTTAATGATTTTTATATTGAGTATATGTTGAAATGATATTTTGAATATATTGGGTTAAATAAAATACATCATTAAAATTAATCTCACCTATTTCTTTTTACTTTTTTTAATGTGGCTGCTAGAAAATTTAAAGTTATATATGTGGCTTTTATTACATTTCTGCTGGAAAGCACTATTATAGTTTTTTAACTTTTTTGGTTTGTGTGTGTGTATGTGTGCAAATATTTACTTATTTGTTGTATGTTTATGCCTTTGAGTATACTGGCTCAAGATAATCCTATAAAGAATTTTCATTTCTTAAGGACAAAGCTCCTGAGGCAGATACGGGCAGTCCATTAATAGACCATTACATCAAAGGACATCAATCGATGATTAAAAGTTCAATGTGGGTTTTCTACAGTCATGTATAAGCCAGTGGTGGGGGCAATAAGGTATAAGTATATATCTGATCGGAGCCAGCAAGAAGGAAGATAACACAGAATCTATGGATACATATTAGAAAGAATATTTGATTGCCCTGATATACATACTGAATGGTTTATAGACTGAAGTTGATATGCTTACATGATACTGTTATTTTTATTTATGCACTTATATTTATTTTAATTTAGCCAAAACAACTAGGCTATTATATTGTATTATGGCTGTGTGCATAGCAACATGTGTTAATGACATTAATTTCCAGATAAAAAAAATCAGTTTCTTTATGTGAAAGACTAACTTCAGGGCACCTCAGTGGGCACAGGGAGAAATCACGTTTGGGTTATTAGTATTTGTGTTGATGTTATTTTGTTGTATAAAGTTAAGCTCTACTTTATGCCAGCTGGGATCAAGAATGCACCTAATTACTGTTCCTTGGTAGAAAGGTAGAACTTGCATATAAACTGACTTTTTATATGGCAAACAAAGCTCTTTTATTAGGCAATATGAACCATGCCTAGGGATAATAAGCTTTATGTGGGCCTATGAAAATCTCTGAAGTCAGAAATAAATTATGGCTCCAAAATGCCTCAAGAAAACTATAAACTCTAAATTAATTAATGTCTAATTAAATGATATTAAGTAAAACGGTATGTTAGTCATTTAAATGTAGTATTTATAGAAATCCCATTATATTAAAAAACAAATTGTAGGTTAGATTGTCTTATTTAGCATTCGTGATTTCCAATAAATTATACCTAAGCACAAATTAAATGTTACCTGTAATAAAATGACTTCAAAATCAACACTTAGAAAATCACTTTCAAAAGTATGCAGCAAAAAAAAAAAAGTGGGATGTAGGGGCACTTTAATATATCTGCACAACGTATTATGTAGCTTCCATAAGTGAGAGTGTATATGCAGCCTATGAGGATTTAAAAATGGTCCCGGTGGCAAATATAATGGGCCAAGGTCTAAGCTTCTTGGCCCAAAGCTGAGACTGGAACAAAGACCTATCAGGGCCTACTGGTCAAGACGGTAACTTTGCACATCTCAGTTCTTGCTATTTCACTAGAGATGATCCACCTGCAAAATTTCACTGACTTTTTCTTGACATTCACTACTATCCTCACTATTCTCATTTCATATCAGGGACATTCCCCATCTCTAGTGGACTATTAGAAAATCTAAAGGTTTTCATCCTCTGAAGATTTGTGGGGGAGGAGGAGGACGGATGTTTCTGTTTATCTGGAACTGAACACTATGCTACCATGTTGCTTGGTTGGTTGCTTGGTTGCAGAGAATGAGTGGCCTTCAGTGGACATTATGTTTTGAACGATGGTTGGGCCAGGGAGCCTTAAGTACCCAGCAAGGCACCTAGAACACCAGTCCTTGGTACTAAGAACTGAAATTAACCTAATATTCTGCCCCTCTGTTAGATAATACTGGGAAAAGGCGTACTTACCAACCTTGTGTAAATACTACTGAAACTGGGCATACTTTCTTTTCCCTGTGTTAAGCAGTATCATATCAGAGGACTTCCCTGTTCATACATTAAACAACACTGAAAACAAGCAAAAATAACTTAGCTTCTGTCTTAGAAGATAAAACTGAGCCAACTGAGGTACTTTCCTTACTAAGAATAACAACTTACTCACCAAGACTCTCTTCAAGCCCCTCATTTCACTGTATTCACCAATCCAAAGGTATTTAACCATAAACGCTGCACAATCCTAACTGTTCCTTGCCTCGCAAGACCTGCTTTAAAATCACATAGCCATGCTCTAAAACACTATACATATTCTCCCCTTCTATCCCCTTTGGACGACACTGCTAACACTCTATCAAGGTAGGGCTCTTTCTTGCCTCTGTAAAGTTAATATAATTTAGCTCTGCTTGATCAACAGGCTTGTCTGGTGGTCTTTTGGGGAGTCAAAGGCATGTTGCTACACGATTTCCACCTTTTAGTTATTGTGAATAATGCTGTCATAAACATGGGTATTCAAATATTCATTTGAGAGCTCACTTTCAATTCTTTTGGGTATAAATTCAGAAGTAGAATTGCTGGATCATACAGTAATACTATTTTTAATTTTTGAGGAACTAACACACTACTTCAGAGCCTTTACTTTTTAGCAGTAAGAAGGAACAACCTACTGATAGATATAACTTAGATGAATCCTAACAGCATTATGCTGAGAAAAACCAATCCCAAAGGTCATGTACTATATTATTTCATTTACACGAAATGCCCAGAAAGACAAATTTATAAAACCAGATTAGCATTTACCTGGACCTAGGGTGGGAGTGCAGAGATTAATGTAAGCAGGCATGAGGGATCTTATTGGGATGGAGAAAATATTCTAAAACTCAGTTGTGATGGTAGCACAGGTAGATAAACTTACTAAAACTCATCAAACTGTAAATTAAAAATGGATGCATTTTACATATCTAAAATTATACCTTTAAAAACTATTTTAAAAAGAGTCTATATCTAAACTGGAACTGTGCAACCATATTCTTTTGCACTACCAGAAACACTGATCACACAAAACCATTTTCAATTTTTTCACTTACCGAAGGATGGGCTGCTATGTATCCATGTGCACTTTTATCTGAAAAGTAAAGATAAAGATGTCACCTTTGTTTCATAAAGACTGCCTTATTTAGAGACCATAGTAAAAAAATAACAACAACACCTATATGCCTTTGAACAGAAGGAAATTCTCCAATTCAGTATTAACAGATATTGACAAATGACAGTGTTTCTTAAAATAGCTCACATCCTTATATCCTCACCATATTCTCACCATGTCATTTTATAGACCTTAATGAAGGCCTCTAGTGAATCTCAACTATATGAAGGAATGTTGAGACTACCCACTCCTGATTGGTGTGTATAATCGATATGTATCTATGTCTAGAATTTCTCCCCCACTTCCTCCTTCCCTCTCCCTTCCTCCCTCCTTTCCTTTCCTCCCTTCTTTCCTTTCCCCTTGTCCTCCTATCCTATTAGTCAGTCTCAACACTAGAGCATTCAGGAAACATATAGTGAGTTTCACTCCGCTCAGAATAGTGCAGGAACTCAGATACCATTGAGCTCTAACATAGTTTTCAGGATTTCATCTTTCTAAGTTGAGAGAATTTGCCATAAAAGTAAACAGAGAATTTGACCAAAACAAAAAGGCCATGACAACTTGGAGTAAAGAACAAACTTGAGAATCTGAAGGGTATTAACAGTTATACTGAAATGATTTCTTGAATACATGTCTGGCTCCTGTACCTATGGTTCTATGGTGAACTTAGGGCACAACTCTAGATTTCCTGGCATTGAGTATTGATCTCTTAGATATTTTATTCCCCATGGAAGACTAAATATCAACAAAAAAGCTCTTCTTGATGGCTTTTTTTTCCTTTTAGGTTTTTACCATCAAATAACAAAAGTTAGTTATCAAAAGTTACCTTCTCATTAAAAACAGTGAACAAAAGTTAATCTCCTCATTAAAAAAAAGACCCATTTAGCGTGTGAATTGCCATATGCCTTCAAGTTTGGGCTCTGATACTTGTTATGGCCAAATCAGATACCTACCCCCTCCCAAATGTACACTTGCACCATTCTTGAAGAGATTTCAAACCTGCCCTATAGTAAAACCAATACCAAGGTAAGGGCTCTTTATAGCTGAGGCACTAATGATAGTATTCTTTTCTTTTATTAGATGTTAAATAATAAATTGTTCTAAAGAAGCCACCCAGATCATCTATCTCAAAATACAAAAGCATTGTTTGGTAAATGTTTGTCAGCTGCCTGTAGTGCAAATGTGAATATCAAAGCTTCAAACAAAGTGAAGTCAAAATTTGGTAGGAATGTGGCCATTTGGATTTCTTATATACAGCAAGGCATGATTGCTTCTTTTAAGTCTAATGTTGAGGTCTGATAGAAATACCCTGGCAACCACAAAATTTGTGCTGTATCATCATGGTGCAATTCAATGAATCTAGGGGATAAAATAAATTTCAATAGACTGTGGTTTCATCCACACCTCTTACTTCATGAACACATCACAAGGTCTAATCCTAAGTGACTGTCTTCTTCACAAAACAACTGTGACTGCTGATTCAGACTGACAACTACTGCTTCACTGAGCAGTTTCCTTGTTTTAGTCCTAAACGCACCCAAGTACCCTAAGTACCCTGATATCAGCGATGACTACCAACTCATCTTTTGGCTTGCTTATGTTGAAGTCACTTGGAGAAAGAACTAGAATTGATTTCAAATTCCCTATAGGCGTTCTGTTCTAACCCTGAGGCTCTGAGATTGGAATTGCTTCTTTACTTTTTGATACCTTAGATTCATTCTTACCTCCTGATGTAAAGCTCATGTATTTCTGGTTGTTGACTGTTTCTTTGGAATCATAGAATTTGAGGACATCCAGAACTGCTTGTGGGTTCTTCTTCTGTTCCAGTTTTGTTATGTTAGAGGTCTGGAGTAGTCGTGCCCACTGCTCAGGAATTCCCTGTGGACAACCAAAGGGAAAGAATGGCAGCTCAGAACATTGAGCAGCTGCGTTTTCATGTTCCAGTAAAGTTCTTCACCAAGAAGCCCATGCTACCTGTAGGATTACACTTGGGAAACTGAAGTTACACTCTAGATTTAGTTAGTAACTTAATAATGCAATCATTCTCTTCTCTAATTAAAAACACATAGGTAAAACTAGGATCCAACTTAAAAAGGGTGGGTGGGAGTATGACTGTGATAGAAAAAAAAAGCACATGAAAATCACCTCCATATTAATTCTGCTCATCCATGAAATGATATTTACAGCTTAGCTTATTTTTTTCTGGCGACTCAGGGCAGACATAGCAAGACTTCTCTAAATTTGTGCACAGTACAGTATAGTGCAGATCAATGGATTTTATATGACCAGCGTGGCATAAACTGTTTCTGGGCTCATTGTGATCAGAATATGCTTTAGAACAAAAAGAAAGCCTCACCCTTGATCAGTTTATACTTTGTGATTACAAAATGTAATTTTTGGGGGTCTAGAGCTTTAGTATGAAGGGGGATTGAGAGGAGACAAAAGTTGAATTGTGGAGGAGCAATAACCACTAAATGGGATGCTAAACAGTAGCATTAATGCTGCTGGGGGCATGTCCCTGCAGCTCTCTCCTCTCGTCCCTCCATCCCCTCCTCCCTACTTTGTTCATTGGCCACACAGAACCTGGGGCCTACCACTACCGTGCCCAAGCCTTGTGAGAATTTGCAATAATCTGAAGCATTTAGAGCAGAGAGGAGGGGGTATTTGGAAATCTAACCAAGGAGAATTGCCAAAATTACACAGAAAGGTGAGTTTCGCATTGAGCGTTCAGCACTCTTTCCTATGTGTTGAGCCTAGAGATGTCCCCATTCCATAATTATCTGGCTTCCAAGAGCAACTTGGAGTGGGAAACAGACGCACTAGCCCTCAAGTGCATCCAGACACAATTTATGTGGCTTTGTCCTACGAAGTCTCGGCAAAACAATGTGTGACGTGGGCCTCCAGAGTTTGGGAATGACAACAAAAAAGTGAGATAAGCCAAGCGACAACTCTACTGCACACACATGAACCTGCTGCTGCAGTGCTATGACATCTCAAAGAAGCACTTTGATGCAAGCTTCTTTTAGGCCTGTGACGCACCTCTGGGAGCTTCCCTGGGCACATCTGTGAGCCATAGAGATCTGGCTGTAATGGACGTAAATAAAGAAAGAAAAGAAAGTTAAAACAGAATGTGGGACAACTTAGAAGGTGGGAGGAGATGAAACCAATGGGTCTGAATGGGGAGGGGGTAATCCCTTCTCAAGTGGGGCGGTTATGAAAATAGAGAGGCATTAACTCAGTCAGGGGCAGGACAGGCTACAGGACAACAGATTTAAGAAAACAGAGAAAAAGACAATGTTCCAAAGTTTGGATGCATATTTCCGCTTTTGGCCAGAGGCTTCCTCCATAAATATGCAATAATAAGTACCATTAAATGACTGGAAAAATTACTATAAGGCAGAAACATGAATTTGGAGGAAAGAGGAATGGCATCATGGAAAGCTTTGACAGTAATTTGTAAGTTATTTTTATAACCAATTGATCACAGGTAACCAATGGCCATGTGATGAACTTACAAATTTCAGGTCCCAATTCTGGTTAACCATTTTCAGTTTCACATTGGAAGTGTCTGAGTGGCTACAGTTCAAAGGATGGCAATAAGGAGATGCTAAATTTAACATTTGTTGTCATTGATGTGATTCATCTGTGCGTGGTAGCTAAAGTCATGGCTGGTTTAGAGAAACTAGATTAAGGATTTCCCACACAGCCAGACTCTGTGTTCGAGTTCCTTAGACATTTAGACCAGGGAAAGGGAAACCATTTCAGTTCAAATCAGGTATAAATAATTTTCATTTTAATGCTGCAGTTCCAAAGTCCCACTTCCCACAAAATCAGATCAGATATAAGGCAACAGCTTTGTCTAAAGAAAGATATTATCTCCAATGCTACAGAAACATGCTTTGACCCAAATGATTTGACTTGGGATATAGGTCTTTGAATCCTGGCATTTGGGATTTCTCCAAGCACAGTGAAATAACACTTTTACATGCATTCATCACGCAATTTTATGCTAAAGCCTTAAGCCAAAAATTTGAACTCAGGAGCCCATGCATGATCCCAGTTCTGATTCTAAGTGCAATTAATAGCATTTGGTTAATACTATAATGGCCAAAGGAGTTATTAAGTGTTACAACACCAGGTATGCATTGCACATCACCACTAGGGCAGACATCACTGGATGGTCACTACCATCATCATTAGAGTATGTGCAGTTATACATTCTCATGGCACTTGTAAACTTTTGTAATCAATATTCTTGTGATCACTAGACAGTAGCAAAAGTGCTGTCAACTGCAGAAGCTCCTTCAGACAACTATACTTACCACATGACTACACTGCTGACATAATTGCTTTTTATCTCTTATAAGTTAATAAACTAGCTAATCCATAAAACCTGACACTGAAATTTGAATGTATACCACAAAGGCACATAATCAGAAAGCCATGTCTTTACTTCCAATTGAGGTACAAATCCCAAAAGTTAGACAGCTCATGGAGACCTAGAAGTATGAGCATCAGAAGCAGGAGCACATATCAATGCCTGACCATGTGTACAGTAACAACTAGATGTACATCAAGCTGGGGATTGCCCAGGGTAGCCCGGGAGAATGGCAGCATGATGCAACAGGCCAAGCATTTATCTTATCGTAAGAAATGATAATTTATATCACTCATACCATTTTTCCCTCTGATTGACTTGAAGCGACCGTCACAGGTCTAGAGGTCTGGAAGGGGGAGTTCTGAAGTATTTGGGACAAAAATGGCAATATAAAGGGTAAGGACTTGCAATAGTTTATACCAAAAATCTCACCTCCCAGCCTAATTTTAATCTCAGGGTTCAAGAGTATGACCAAGTATATAAGGTAGCATAAGCCCATTAGCCACAGGGTGATGACCAAGCAACACAACAAAACAGTGTCCAAATATTCAAAGTAACAGGCCCTCGTGAGACAACAAGACTAGACAGCTCAACAAATCACTTGAAATTCAACTAAGACAACTGTAATAATCAAATTTAATAGTATGTTCCTCCCCCTCTGCACATACACACAATGAATTTGTGGTGCTGTGGCACTTAGGACCCAGTTTTAAAGCCTACCAACAAAATGTTTAAAAGTTTATTATCATTTGGTATTTTTAAAGTTAATAATGTAAATTATAGGTTAAGACAGTAAAAAAAGAAAAAAAGGCAGAATTTGGTATCTTTAAAAGCAACATGTGGACAAATAGTTATCAAAGACAAAAGTACATCATATTTGCAAATTTAGCCTGTGTTTTCTCTACAAAGTCAGTGGATTTCTAACAACTGATTGCATCCAAAGAGCTACTTGATTTTAAATTGAGTTTTTGGGAGGAGGGGGAGAGTTTGGTTCAATAGCATCAATCTGTTTTTCACGATTGGAAAGATTTGCCCATCACACATCCCACCCACCCCTATCTGGTTGATTCTTTGGGCTCTAATTAACAGCAAAGTGAAAATGGCTGGTCTACAGTCAGCAAGATGATGGCGATTCGCTTTCCTTTATTTCCATTCAGAAACCCATAAAGAACAAAGAAAGAGCTAAAGACAGAAAGACTGTATCATAAAATGTCAAGCAAGTTGGAAAAAATGGAAAAAAAAATTGGAAAGGAACCAGAATGTCATATGAGAACAGTGGAAGAAAAAACTTTCACATCAGAAAGCAAAATGGAAGAAAAAAAGAAAAGAAAAATGTGGAATGACAACCATACAATGGAAGAGAAGTTTACATTAGAAAAGCACAAAGAAAACAAAAAGGTCAAAACTGGAAAGATAAAGTTCTTAAAATAAAACAAGGGCAGTGTTATTAGACAAAACTTATAAAGTTTAAGTGCTTTTACTGTTTCAAACATGAGAAAAAAATAGTCATAACCTCTTTGTTCAGATTATAAAAATTACTATTTTTTTGTTGGTGGTGAGGATGGTAGTGGTAGTGGTAACAGTGAAGTTATATTTCTTAAGTGTAGCTATGAAAATATTCTCTAATGCAATAAAGAACAGAGGCTGGGCTCAAACTCAAGGCCATTTGAATAATGTCTCTGACTCCAGTGATGACATTGGTTAAATTGTACCAGTATCTCAACTGTATCAATGTCAGTACCCAACATTCTCTTCTGCTTGCTACTGAGAACAGAGAAATAAGCAGTTCACATCACTTTACAAGGCCAAGATGAGTTTACTCAGTTTCCATTTCATTGCCAATTGCTTACGTCCAGAATTTTAAAAAGATAATTTGGCTGTCAATTCAAAGAGACATGGTTTGCTTCTCCAAATCAATCTGTTCCCTTTTTTTCTCACTTAATCACATAACACAGTCTACTCCTAACCCTCACGTAATGAAATAGGAAATTAGATTGTTTGATATCTAAATTTATCTCTGATTTAAGAACCCAAGGATCGATGGTGATGGTTTTATCAATGATTCTTTCTGAATGCATTCAAATTACTCATTATTGCAGAATGTGCATTTTGATTGAGTTCCCCACTAGTGTGGAAAAGGTGGTTGATCGTCCTGGGGATATATTACTAGCCCCATCTTTTCCTTCATTCAGCTGGAAAAAAAATAAAAAGATGCCAGATTTTTTTTAAGTATAAAATGACATCAATCTGAGATCTAATGCTATTTGAGCACTACAAATATCCAAAGAAAGGCTAGATCTGTAACTATGGTCTTTCTGGAGAATTCTTAAAGGTATTTATTGTGGAGTGTATGTATATATATATATATATATATATATNTCTATTTTGTAGACATTTAAAACAATAAACCCCATGTTTCAGGAAGAAATATTGATGGATATATCATATATGTTTTAATGGCTGCTATATATATATATATATACATATATATATGTATATATATATATATATAGCAGCCATTAAAACATATATGATATATCCATCAATATTTCTTCCTGAAACATGGGGTTTATTGTTTTAAATGTCTACAAAATAGAACTGTTAATAAGCCTAAAAGAAGCTATATTCTTGAAGTCAAAGAGGAGAATAAGTCAATTTTACAGAGATTTTTGGTTAGTGTTGTTAGTCGATCTGTTTCCTTTTTTTCTGGGTAATCCAGGTTCCAATGTAAAGCCTGAATTATTCAGATAGATGGTTTACACGGGCCAAGTTGAGCCAATGACTCTCTGATTAACTTCAAATGATAAAGAACAGGCTCAACAGAGTCTCTCCACCAGGACTACATTTCCTATGCCATGGTAAATCAGCATTCCCAATCAGGTTAAAGACCAAACGCGAACACTTTTGTTAAGATGAACAAAATAATTTTGCCAATAATCTTGCCATTCTCTATTCCACCTGTGATTGTTTCGGTGAAGTCCATCTTCCTTGAAATCATCAAAACATCACTTCTGACATTTTGGGACAAGGCAATTCTTTTTCAAAACCTATTTTCACAAAGGACTTTTTTCATGGCTTACAAAACAAAATAGGGAGCTTACTTACAGTGAATTCCCCGGTGACTGCATCAAACCCCACATGAATCGTATGTTCAAAGTCTGAAGGAAGAGAGATCTCTGGGCGTTCTTTCTCTTTCTTCTTATTGGCTAAAGGCAAAATGTTAACATGTATTTATTTGGAATATAGTTTTGGCACCCATAAGTTGTACAATTAGGTTCATCAAAACAAAGTTGAAAGACTTTGGAAAGAAAAACTGATTCCAACACAATTTTAACAACATTTAACTCCAGAAATTATGGTTTTATTTGCAGAAGTGGCTGAGACTTTGACAAAAAAAAGTCATGTCCACTTAATTTACAAATTTCCCACATCTAATTCAAACAAAACTTGCAGAGATAGTGACTTATATCCTTTACAAGTCTAATGATGAAACCACTTCCTAAAGAAGAAATTCATTATACTCAAGTCAATCTAAGGACTACTATTAAAAAAAATAGGAAAGAAAAGCACTTAAACTATCTACAAAAGCATAATGAATTATTCTCATGTTTAACCATAGCTAAATATCAAGTACCTAGAACTTTTTTAGTTTACATGTTTACAGTATGAAGCATATCTTAATACACTCTTTGTCTTCTTTCAATAAGAATACTACTGCAAACCAATGATGTTACAAATCTTTCTTCATCATTAAAAATGCTTTTAATCCTTTCCTACCCAGCACTGTTAATAAAAAAATACAAATTGCTGCTTGTTCCTGAATTAATTTTATTTTGTTCCTAGAAACCTCAACCCAATTCCTTGGATCTGTCATTCTAATTTGTAGCTATTTTTCCATGTCTCTATTTTATTTTGTCATATTAGCCATCTAAAATCATTGTCCTCAAGCAGCAGATTTCTTGTAATGACACAGTTGTGAATAAACACATTAATAGTTCATAAGTCAAGAGCCTTTAAAGATATAATCACTGAAGAAATTAAGTTGGGAACTGTAATGAAATTAGTCTATCTTGAAATAGATCCCAAGAAGAAGTTACTATGGACAGGCTGTAAAATGGCATCTAACAGTTTCCATAATAGACATATCAGCAGATTTGAGCATGTATCTTTCTGATAAGGGTGCATTTTACATAAAAAAAAAATACCATCTTAATACTGGGTAAGTCAGCCTGAACCAGATTTGCTCAATTGAAACCAATCAACTTCAGAATTGCCAGTGGCCAATTTAGAACATTCTGGTTCAAATAATAGATATTTCCTTGGCCGGAATTTCAGACAACATTCAATTAACCACATATAGATTACTGTTTTTATGGGACTACCCAAGATAAAATTTAAATTAAAAACTTTTAATCTTCAAATGTCATTCTTAGGGTTCCTTTTCTCTTTCTACCCTCTCTTACTGAGCCACATCTCCAGCCAGAGAATAGAGATATGGGGCAGAAATATGGAAATTCAAGTAGTTAGGACTACAATATAGTATTAGGAAAGAAAGGTTGGAGGTGAGGAGACAGGGACTGGACAAGGGTCACTCAAAGCCTTTGCCTGGCCCAGGACACAGGTTCATTTTGAAAAGTAGTTATATGCCATCTAAACTTCAGCATAAGTTCCATTTTTACAGTGAACTACTTTATTGAATATTATCCACACTAAAGAGTGAAATTCAGAGCTTTCTGTTGGTACTCCTATTCCCCCTGCATGTTTGTGGATTATAGTTACCATTTATACATGTTCAACTACCATTTTTACTTGCTCAGAAAGGCAAACAGAACAATCAGCTTTCTGTTCTTGCCACTCCACTGAAGGTATCCTTAGCTACTTCCATAATCATTTTATTTTTCCTCTTTCTTGATCTCTCATTCATGTGGGACATGGCTAACCACCTCTTCCCACTTCCTTGGCAGTGCAGTCTGATTCTCCTCTACCCTCAGTGAACATTTTATTTTTATTTTTTATGTTGTTATCATTAATCTACAATTACATGAAGAACATTATGTTTACTAGGCTTCCCCCTTCACTAAGTCCCCCACCCCACCCCATTAGAGTCACTGTCCATCAGCGTAGTAAGATGCTATAGAATCACTACTTGTATTCCCTGTGTTGCACAGCCCTCCCCATGCCCCCCCCATTATACATGCTAATCGTAATATCCCCTTTCTTTTTCCCCACCCTTACCCCTCCCTTCCCACCCATCCTCCCTAGTCCTTTTCCCTTTGGTAACTGTTAGTCCATTCTTGGGTTCTGTGATTCTGCTGCTGTTTTGTTCCTTCAGTTTTTCTTTATTCTTGTACTCCACATATGAGTGAAATCATTTGATACTTGTCTTTCTCCACCTGGCTTATTTCACTGAGCATAATACCCTCTAGCTCCATCCATGTTGTTGCAAATGGTAGGATTTGTTTTCTTCTTATGGCGGAATAATATTCCATTGTGTATATGTACCACATCTTCTTTATCCATTCATCTACTGATGGACAATTAGGTTGCTTCCATTTCTTGGCTATTGTAAATAGTGCTGCGATAAACATAGGGGTGCATCTGTCTTTTTCAAACTGGGCTGCTGCATTCTTAGGGTAAATTCCTAGAAGTGGAATTCCTGGGTCAAATGGTATGTCTATTTTTAGTTTTTTGAGGAACCTCCATACTGCTTTCTACAATGGTTGAACTAATTTACATTCCCACCAGCAGTGTAGGAGGGTTCCCCATTCTCCACAACCTCGCCAACATGTGTTGTTGTTTGTCAGTGACCATTTTTTATATGATGGGCATTGCTTCCCTTCCTCCCTTTCTTAGTGCAGCTTTTGGCCCTTTGCAATCCTTCCTCTGCACTCATCCCTCTTGGATGGCATGCACTCCCAGACACTAATTCATGCTGGGCAACTCCCTAATCTATAGGTGGCAGGGGTAGATCCAGATTTTGTCAAACTGAACACTTTATATAATTTAAGAGGAAAGCTCCCTGTAAGTAAAAACAATACAGAATTGCTAGGGTCCCTCCTAGGGCCTTGGAAGAGTTCCAGGCAAGTGAGAATTCTGGAAAAGCAGATGTATTCATTTCACAGTAAATCTACTCCTGGTGGTTGGTGACCTTTTTGGGGTCAAAGACCACTCTGAAAAGTCTAAGAGAGCTGTGGAACTTCTGCACGTAGAATGCACTACACACACACACACACACACACACACACACACACAATTTTGAATTAAATTCAGAGGTTCAAAATTCCCTATACTCCAGATTAAGAACCCCTTGCTTCATCTACATCTCCAATCACTATACCAACTTGCGTTCATGATCTCTCTTGCCAGGCAATAGGCTCTCGCCACTTCTCCATCAGTATTGGCTGCACATTTAAAGCACACTGATTTCTACATCAACACTCCACTTGAGCTGAGCTACTTGAATTGGCCTAATGATGTCTCCATAGGAAGGCCACCTAATTGCCAGTCCCTTACCAACCTAATCATGCCATTCCGTTCACTCAGGGCCAAGTATAACAGAGGCAGGAAGACCAAGCTTGCCCCTCCCCCAGTGTCTATGAAATACCACTAACCACCCAGATAAGGGAAGATTAAGGTTTTGGACTCCTCTTCCCTCGGGAGGCTCTAAGCAATGACTGCCCCTCCCTCCAAATAAAAACAATACTAAAGCATGAAAAAGGTAATTAAGTCCAAAAATATTCTGATACTCCTGTGATGATTAATTTCAGTCTTTTAAAAAACTATGTATCTCAAATCAAAGTGTTTCCACACTTCGGGTGCTCCAATTTACTGGGCCTTAAGCACATGCTTACTCTGGCAACTGAGTAACCCAGCACTGGCCCAACTGCCCAAACCATAAGTCTAGGAACTTCTGTGACACCTACTTTAACTCTATCTTAATTGGTCACCCAGTTGTCTACTCCAAATTTGTCTTGAATCGATTTTCTCCCTTTCATCCACTCTAAACTTTATCTAAGTCCAAGGCACCAGCATATCTCACCTGAACTTACTGCTTCCAGTTCTGCCCCTGAAGTTCATTACTCTGTGGCCATAGTAGTCTTTTGAAGTGTACAAATCTGCCTACATTCCTGCCTTTGTTTAAGATTCTTAATGGCTCCCCATTACCCATATGTTAAAAGTTCACACTCCCGGAGACAGCTCCCGGCTCATGCCGGACAAGAGAGTCTGGAGTGGTGCGTTGTTTAGGGGTTTTATAGGCAAATGAGGATTTTTCGGGAACATGAAAAAAAGCTTAGGGGTGTGGACTTATTAAGTGGTCCTAGGACATTTAGAATTAACTTGATACAGGTAACTTCCTGCTCTGTTGATTTCTCCCTGATATACCAGCATCTTGGTCTGGGGGCATATGAAACAAGGCCACCTGCTCAGCCCCCAAGGTGGGCTGAGGCATTGTTTGCTAAAGAGTAGGTTAAATGCAATCTTATCTTTAAGGTGGAATCCTTCCTGCCTTTTACCGTGTTATGGCTGGGCCTGCATGCTAAATTAGTTTGCCCATCCACTGTCTGTTTTTGCCCAGCCCTCACTGTTCTATACCCATTTCATGGTCCCTAAACTGCCACGTTTTCTCTTACTGCCACACTTCTACACACACTAGGCCAAGGCCTGGAAAGTCTTCCTTTTTACCACCTCCCTCTGCTTTGTAAGGGTAACTCTCACTAGTCCTGATTCGTGAAGACTCACTCTTGGGCCTCCTCTCCTTTGGCAAGTCTTTCCATGTCTTCCCTCTGCAAACAAAGTTGAATGCTCTTCTCCTCCTGCTCCCACAGAACTAGCCAGTGTATACTCTGCACTTGGCACTTACCAACACTACATTGTCACTACTTCTTTACATACCACTCTCTCTAGTTAAAAGTTGAGAGGCTTGCCAGCAAAGACTACCTTACTCCTCATGTTCTCTAGCATCTGGCTTTAGTCTGCCTAGTTAGTAACTATCACTTACGGAACATTCACCATGTGCAAAGTGCCTCTAGGGTTATCACATTTAATCTCCACTCCAATCTTAAAAGATAGGCCTTTTTATTATCATATTAGCATTATTTTATGAATGAGCAAAGTGAGATTCAGTGAGGTTAAACCACATACCCAGGGTTACACAGCTTGCAGGTGTCAGAGCTGGGATTTGAACCTAGGTTCCCAACTGTGTCTA